CAGATCAAATGAGATACTGAAAGTGAGTTGAAAAAAAGAAACAGTAGAAAGAACTCTGGACCTAGGATTGGGAAGACCTGAGTTCAAATCTAGCCTCCTATACAATTCACTGTAGGACCCTGGGCAAGTGACTCAACTCACTTCTGTCTGCCTCAGTTTCCTCAACTATAAAATGGGAATCAAAATAGTACCTAACTTCCAGGAGTGTTGTTAAGATAAAATGAGATGCTGGTAAAGTGCTATAAAATTGCTACCTGTTATTATTAAGAAGAGCTAGATTATATTTGTAAAAATTCCTGTTTTAACATGAATATACTTTAATGGATATATTTAACATTAACATATTTTCATGATTGATTTCACATGGCTACAAAATGTGGAACCCATGCTCTCCAAAGAATTAAAGTTGCAGGCAATACAAAAGGCAACAGAGAGACACCAGGTGGGTCTAAGAAGGCTCCACAAACTGGTACCAGCAACAACTTAAGTGAAGGGCCAAGCATAAAAGATATCACCAAGGTGTGTATGATCAAAAAAAAGGAGGCTGTCCAGTCATGTGGTGAGAATGAGGCAGAATAGCCTATGTCCCACTGTTGCCCACAAAGTGTGACAGGGCCTAGAAATGTCTCCAGTGCACAGGGTAGTCCCACCAATGAACACTGATGAGAGGTTGTAATCTGCACCAGTGGAGGGAGAACCAACATCAATCAAATCATGTATGCATTGAAATATCTTATTAGTAATGACAATAGTGAGAGTCAACAGTCAACAAACATTTATTAAACGCCTACTATGTGTCAGATCTGATGTGAAAGGGTGGGGATACAAATTTTAAACAGAAAGACAATCTAAATTCTAACTGAGGAAGACAATAAGCTGAAGAAAGCTGGAAAGACAAAGATGGGAGAGAACAGGGACACCAGGGGATATGTGAGGGCATGATGTTCGTGGAATCAAAACCAAGCTGAGCAGATGATGGGAAATGAAGTTAGGTGGAAATTCTGAGACCTCTATAAAGAGGAATTTATTGCTCTACCATCTGGGGACAGGTAACTGAGGGAACTGAGGAAGTGTTGAGATGCTGCTGCTACTGCTGCTGCTGCCGCTGCTGCTGCTGCTGCTGCTGCTGAGGACTGCCACTTCTTCAGTGCTCTACAATTTACAAAGTGTCTTAAGTGTATTATCTTATTTGAGCCTGATAAAATTGTGAGACAAGTGCTACAGGTACTATTCTGCTGACTTTAGGTTTTTTTAAGTGTATTTTTATTCTGAATTTAAATACCAAATAAAATGAGTGTGTCTTTGTGTGTCTACACACACACATACACACAGTAGAACCGAAAAAGATTATACATGAAACTGCGGATCTTTTCTTTTTATGCATATATGCTACCTGTTAAAAAATGCAAATTCTAGCTTTCAAAAGTGTCCTACTTGGCTGTCCTTTCTGACCTTCCTACTGTTCTCTTCTCTGTATTTAAAAAAAAGTGCCTGGATGATCTTTTCTCTTTCTTCCTTCCTTCCTCCTTCCCTTCCTCCCTTCTTTTTTTGGCATTTAAAAAAATGCCTTCAAGATCCCGTTTTCTCTTCCTTCCTTCCTCCTTTTCTCCCTCTCTTCTTCTTTCTTTCTTTGCATCTTTCCTCCCTTCTTCTCTCCTTCTTTCTCTTCCTTCCTTCTCCTTCCTTCCTTCCTTCCTTCCTTCCTTCCTTCCTTCTTCCTTCCTTCCTTCCTCTTCCTTTCTTTCTTTCTTTCTTTCTTTCTTTCTTCTTTCTTTCTTTCTTTCTTTCTTTCTTTCTTTCTCTCTCTCTCTCTCTCTTCTCTCTCTCTCTTCTCTCTCTCTCTCTCTTTCTTTCTTTCTTTTCTTTCTTTCTTTCTTTCTTCCTCCTTTTACCCAAACTAGGGTGGTGGTAATGGGAAGGAAGAGGAAGTGCCTGATTTGTGTGATATTCTGGAGGCAAACTTGACACAATAGAGTAAATGATCACATATGGGGAGTGAGAGAGAAAGGAAGGATTCAAAGACAACTGGAAGTACTGTACTGTTATTGACAATGACAGAGAAGTTAGAAATTGAAGCAAGTGTTCAGAAAAAGATGAGGAATCAATCTTAGACATGTGGGGTTTGAAGTGCTAGATGACAGGGTCAGAGATACAGAGCTGGTAGGGACCATGGAGTTATAGAATCATAGAACTTGAGAGGTCAAAGAGATGTGGGCAACCATCTAGTCTAACACATACAAAAAGGAGTTTCCACTCTACCATACCTAACAGGTGATCATCTGGCTTCTGCTTGAAGGCCTCCAAGGAATGGGAATCCACTGTGGCTCATGACAGCCTTTGGACATTTCTAATTGTTAGAATGGTTTTCCTGACGTCAGCTTCCATTCCCTGCTTTTGCTTCTCCTCTCTGACACCAAACAGAACAAGTCTAATCTCCATTCCAGCCCTTCAAAGACTGGAGCATACCTATTATATCCTCCTCAGTCTTCTCTTGTCCAGGGACAGCATCTGCACTTGTTTCATCTGATACTCAATGCCATGAACTCCAGGACACTCTTCTCAGGATGCTTTCTAGCTTATCAATGTTCTCAAAACATGGTGCTCAGGACTGAACACAATAGTCCAGATGAGGTCTGACGGGAACAAAGTATGGTGAGATTATCAGCACCCTGTTCCTGGAAGTCATGCTTCTCAATGGAGTCCTGTACATGTAGTCCTGATGTCGTCTGGATGTTGTATATATTAGCCTTTTTGGCTGTTACATCACACTGCTTACACACACTGAACCTCCAGTTCTCTTGAATAACCAGATCCTTCCAGATAGGACAACCATTGTGTCCCCACTATACCTGGAGAGTCAATTTCTCCACAATTCATGTTCAGGACTTTACTTTTAGGCTTGTTGAATTTCAACTCTTTACTCATTAATTAATTAATTAATTTGTTTGTTTATTTATTTATTATTATTATTAAGGCAATTGGGGTTAAGTGACTTGCCCAGGGTCACACAGCTAGTAAGTGTCAAGTGATTGGTCTGAGGCCGGATTTGAACTCAGGTCCTCCTGACTTAGGGCCGGTGCTCTATCCACCACACCACCTAGCTGCCCCTGAATTTCAACTCTTTAAATTTAACCCAACGTTCTAGTAGACTATGTAGAATCCTTTTAGATACTGCCTCTTTTATCCAGTGTGTTAGCTATGCTCCCAGCTTCATGTCATCTGTAGATTTGATAAGCATTCCATCTATGACTTTATCCTTGTCAAAAATAGAAATGTTAAGCAACACAGGGGCAAATTAAGATCCCTTGAGTCCTCTACTGAAGGCCTCCTGCCATGTTTATACTGAAACATTAACAACTACACTTTGAGTCCAGCCATCTAACAATTCTGAATCCATCTGATTATATTATTGCCTGATCCATATTTCTCCATCTTCTTCATAAGCACAGTATGGGACACCCTATCAAAAACTTGGCTAAAATCTTGGTAAAGTATAGTTAAATAATCCTGACAAAAAGGAAAATAAGATTTAGTATGATGTGACTTATTATTGATGAAGCCATGCTGGTTCCAGTCTCCTTATACCTTACTCCCTAAACACTCTTCAATTCAGTGACAATGGCCTTTTAGCTGTTCTATGAACATCTTTCCATCTTTCAGCTCCAGATATTTTCTCTGGCTGCCCCTTGCCTGGAATGCTTTCCCTCTCTGCACTGACTACTAACTTCCATCACTCCCTTTTAGGTCTCAACTAAAATCCTACCTTCTATAGAAAACCTTCCCCAAGCCCTCTTAATTTTAGTGCTTTTCTTCTGTCAATTAACATTTATTTATCCTGTTTATAACTTACTTTGTGTATGTATACATATATATATATATATATTTGTTTGCATGTTATCTACTCCACTAGATTGTATGCTCCTTGAGGTCAGGGTCTATCTTTTGCCTCTTTTTGTATTTCCAGCACTTAGCATAGGTACATAGTAGGCATTTAATAAATTGCTTGACAGATTTGTTGGTTCTCTGTAATCACTATTTCACTTTCTAGATATTTAGCAATTATCTTTTTAATAATCTTTTCAAGAGTTTCCCTAGGAATCAAAGTCAATCTCATTGGCCTAAAATTTCAAACTCTCCTTCCTTTTTAAAAAATTTGCTCCAAGTCTCTGATTTTATGAGTGAGGAAACTAAGACCCAGAAGTGTCTAATAGGCAGCTGAAAATAAGAATCTGGTACTTGGTAGAAACATCACGCCTGAAGATTAGATTTGGGAGTCATCAACATAGTGATGATAGTTGAAGTTTATGCAGGAGATGAGCTCACCAAGAGAGAAAGTATAGAGAAAGACAAGAAGAGGATAAGATCTTTGGTTAATGCCTACATTAAGGAGATGGGAAGAAGATCCAGAAGGAAGCAGTCTGTGCCAAAAGGTGAAAAGAGCTCTAGGAGGACAAGGAAGCAGTGATATGCTTTCCCTCTAATGATGTTTAAAATAGACCTTTATAAGACTTTGTAGAAAAGGAGGAATAACCCTTGTTCCTTTAAATGGAGGAGGTAGCATGGTGTAATGCAAAGAGATCTGGTCTGGAGATAGCCAACTTGTATTCAAATCTCACCTATGATGCTTATTGCCTATATGACCTTGGGCAAGTCACTTAACTTCCTTGGGCCTCAGTTTCCTCATCTGTAAAATGTCCTTCCCAACTCTAAATCTATAGTCTTAAAATCCTAAGTCTAAGTCTCCCAATCCTGCAAGAAGCAGAACTGGCTCCAGCAATATATACATGATATACAGATATATATATATATATATATATATATATATATATATATATATATATGATATAGATAGATAGATAGATAGATAGATAGATAGATAGATATAAAGAAATATATATATAGATAAAAAGAAATATATATATATATATATAGATATGTATTTAACCTTATACAGATATAAAGAATTTTTTTTCAGATTATCATTTCCTTATCTTGTTTACCTTTGAAAGAGGATGTTTGATTAACTCCCGGAGTATTGAAACTAGATGCTTTTGTTTTCACTATTGTGAAAACAGAGTACTGAGTTACTTTGAAAAGTTTCCCCTGAGAAGCTTGTTTTTCTTGTTTTCCCTGTTACTGTAGGCACTGAATAAAATTTATTCTGATGCCCTTACATTCTTCCTTGTGCTCCTGCTGCAATAACCAATCAGATGTCAATGAGCTTGACTTCTATTCTCAGCAAAATTCTAGAACATATTTATTGTTTGTGGCAGGCAGCCTTTGCTACTCTGAATCCCTTCCTATTCCTGCTACCTCTATCTTGCCCCATTTCTGGATATTCCACACCTAGGACCTTACACATTGGGACCTTGCTGGACAATCCCTGGCACCTTTTTGCTTATAGCATTAGCTATGAAAAATCAGTCAGACAATTCTGAGGAGGAACCTAATCCTGGCTATGAAACTCTTAGCCCTTGTCTAAGACTGCCCTAGTGTGGATTACTGCTATGTTAGAGTTGCCTTCGTGGGAGGATGGCTCACAGTCCTAACTTGGGAAGTCAGTCAAAAAGTTTTAGAGGTGCCAGCTCCTGGCCCCAGTATGAAGGGCTGGTGGATTACTCGATAAAAGAGCTGAGACCTTTGATCAATTTCCCACAATGACTAGAAGGTATAACCAGAATGCTGGAGCTGGGTATGCCAAGAGTAAGAGTAGCCTTTTTGAGAAGCCATTTATGGACCTGCCCCCTTCTTCCTCATGACTTTGACTATTTTACTTTCACTGCTCTTGTTATATCTATTTCTTTTGTTGCCCCAAGCAGCCTCCCTCCCTTCCTTCCACACAACTTGTTTGGGCTTCAACTCCCAAGTTTCTCTTTAAGCCTCAAGTCATTTTAATTGTTTCCATCTCTTCACGACTTCATTTGGAATTTTCTTGGCAAAGACACTGGAGTGGCTTGCCATTTCCTCCTCCAGCTCATTTTACAGATAAGGAAACAGAGGCAAATAAGGTTAAGTGATTTGCCCAGGGTCACACAGCTAGACCAAATTTAACCTCAGATCTTCCTGACTCCAGGCCTGGTGCTCTATCCATCGTGAATCAAATAAAGGGCTCTTACTTTTAAAATCGATGGCAGGTCTGACTTTTATGCAGAAATCTTCTCTACTCCTCTTACTATAAGTTTACAATGTACTACAACATTAGTAAAGGGACGGTTTGTAAACACTTTAGAAAGTTGGATTTGAAACTAGTTAAATGACTAGACACAGAATAATGAGGAAATACTTCAGCTAAGTTTTGCAGCAAATCTTTAATGGAGGAACCCAGTGATTTATCCTTGACTTGGTACTGCTCAACATTTGTATCAATGACTTAGATGAAGTCAGACAAGCCATGCTTATTAAATCTGCATATGACATCAAGCCTGAAGAGATGGTTTAGCAGGCCAAAGAAAATGTAATGTACATTGAAATGTACATATAAAGTTCTACATTTAGGATTAAAAAAACAATGTCATAAGTATAAGTTGAGATAAAATTAGACAACAATTTCTATGAAAAAGATATGGGAGAGACAACATGTAAATGACTAATGTATACATGTTATTTGCAGGGTAAATGGAAGGTGATCTCAAGAGAGGAAAGTGTAAATAGTTGGGGGGACTGGGGAAGGTCTCCAGCAGAAGGGAGGATTTGAGCTGAGTCATGAAGGAAGCCAGGGAAACTGTCAGAAATGGTCAGGAAATGTATCCCTGGCATGGAGGTGACAGAAAAATTGTCAATAGAAGGGCAGAAGTTAATAACAAATGTAAGATTACTTGCCAATCCCTTAAATGATCCTAGTAACTTCAGAATTTCAGTAATGTCCTTACATTCCTACTCTTAAGCTATTTGCTCTCCATTAGGTTGAGCTGAACCACACTCTAAGTCCCCCACCCTGGGATTTTTACCTTGTAAAGGAACCTAGCTTGAGTTGAATTTCAGCTCCTGATGTCCTTGCTCCCTTCCATTGGGATTCATGGTATGAAGGGCAAAATAGTCATAATGAAGTGTTTTTTCTTGCCCAGCCTGTCAAGGGCTATTGGGGCCTCATGACTAGGCCTTACTACCTCACCTACCTCCTCCCCCTCTCCTCCTAAACTATAAAAACTTTTTCATGGGTCTCTTTGCTTCGGAAATCCACTGGATATCCCCCAGGGTGGCAGGTCTGCTATGCTATCTCAGTTACAGATGCTTTGCTCCTCACTCATGACTTTGATTTATTTCAGGACTTGAGAAGAGGATAGTCAGGACAAAGGCACCAAAATGAAAGATGGCATGTCCTGCACAGAGAACAAGTGAAGGCCAATGTGTCTGGATAGTAGATTGCATGGCAGGGAGTAAAGTGTAAGAATATTGAAAAGATAGAAATAGGCTAACTTATGTGCCAAATAAAAATTAATTATTTTAATTAATTAGATTTAATTTAAATGCTAAATAAAATACTTCGTATATTATCTAGGAAGTAATAGGAAGCCAGTAGAGTTTATTGGGTAAGTAGATGAAATGGGAGATCTGCACTCTAGAATATCACTTTTAGTAGCTGAGTGGAGAATGGATTGGGGTGGGGAGAAACTTGAGACAGGAAGGCCAGTTAGAAGGTTTTCACAGTAGTTTAGAAGATATGTGATGAGGGCCTGAACTAGAGTGGTGGTTGTATTCGTGAAGGGAATGGGATACACATGAGTGACACTGTATGGATAGAAATGACAAGATGGATGGGATATGTGAGGTGAAAGTGAAGAGCTTTAGTCTGAGTGACTTGAAGGATGGTGGTACTATCAGTAGTAACAGAAAAGTTAGAAAGCAAGGAGGATTTGGGAAAATAATGTTTTGGACGTATTGAGTCTGAGATGTCTACAGGACATTCAGCTCAAGATGTTGATGATACAGTACTCTAATTCTGGAGTAGAGAGCATCTTATACTAGGAATCAACCTCATGGAGATGATAAATGAACCCATGGGAGATGATGGAATCACCAAATGAGATAGGACAAAGTAAAAAGAGAGGCCCAGGAGAGGAGGCCCAGTTACTGAATGGGGTACACACATATATGTATATATTACATGTATATACATACATACTTATACACACACACACACACACACACACACACACACTTAACACTGCAGTTTCACATATTTGGGACACAGGTCTTCACAGATTTCCAAGAGAAAATGTTACTCTGATTCAGAGTTTTGAGACAGTTGTTGCTTATTTTCAATGTGACAGGCTGTAGTATACTATAGTGATTTGAACACCAAAACTATTCTTTCATTATGGGACAAATGCAATTTATCTGACAGAAGCTAGGTGGTACAGTGAATAGAATGCTGGGCATACGGCCAGGAGGATGAGTTCAAATCCAGACTTGGATATTTACTAGCTATGTGACCTTGGGCAAGTTATAACTGCTTTCTTCTTCAGTTTCCTCATCAGTAAAATGGGGCTGTTGTTATTCAGTTGTATCCAACTCGTCATGACACCATTTGGGGTTTTCTTGGCAAAGATATTGGAGTGGTTTGCCATTTCTTTCTCCAGCTCATTTTATAGATGAGGAACTGAGGCAAACAGAGTAAAGTGACTTGCCCAGGTTCACATAGCTAGTAAGTGTCTGAGGTCAGATTTGAACTCAAGAGGATGATTTCTTCCTGACAACAGGCCTAGCACTCTATCCACTTGCACCACCTAGATGCTTAAAAATGGGGGATCCTCTCCCAGGGTTATGATAAAATGAGATAATATTTGTAAAGCACTTTGCAAACTTTAAAGAACTATGTAAATGTAAAATGAAAATGTGTTTACTAACTATAAGATAATGTGGCTGTTCACAGCAAGAACAGAGCCTGAATACACTATGAAGAGAAAGAGAAGTCAAAGGTCATATTGCAGAACTACATCAGCTAGCTGAAGCCTGATGAATACTATAGTTGCTCTTAGGGCTAAGTCAGCTGAGCAGAAGAATAATTTGGAAGGAGAGAATCAGTCATCCAGAGGACGGACTAGTATGGTTTGAGATGTCATGCCCAAGGAGGCATTGGTCTAGCATAGTTTGGATCAACTCATTTTAGCAACAGAAGAAAATGTTCAACACAGAAGGTAAATTCTTTTTTAAAAAATTTTTAAATTTTTTTTTATTTTTTTAAATATAAATTTATTTATTTGTAGTTTTCAACATTTATTTCTACAAGTTTTTGAGTTTCAAATTTTCACCCCGTCTCACCTTTCCCCCACCCCAAGATGGCATGCATTCTGAATAGCTCTTCCCCTAGTCTGTCCTCTTTTCTTTCTCTCCCCCCCTTCTCTTATCCCCTTCCCCTTCTATTTTCCTGTAGGGCAGCATAGACTTCTGTACTCCATTTCCTGTATTTCTTATTTCCCGATAGCATGTGAAAACTTTTTTTTAAACATATGTTTTTAAAACTTTAGGTTTCAAATTTTCTCTCTTCCTCCCTCCCCACCCACCTCATTGAAAAGGCGAGCAACTCAATATAGGTTGTACATGTGCAGTTATGCAAAACACTTCCATAGTAGACGTGTTGTGAAAAACTAACTCTATTTCCCTTAATCCTATTCTGCCCTCCCATTTATTCTATTCTTTCTTTTGACCCTGTTCCCATTACACCCTTTTCCAATCTGCCCTCCTCTCTATCATCCCCCTGCTCTCTTGTCCCCTTCTCCCCCTATTTTCTTGTAGGGTAAGACAAACTTCCATACCCAATTGAATGTGTATGTTATTCCCTCCTTAAGCCAAATCCTATGAGAATAAGATTTACTCATTCCCTCTCACCTTCCCCTGCTTCCCCTCCACTGTAAGAGACTTTTCTGTTTTTTCTTTGTGAGATAATTTACCCCATTCTACCTCTCCCTTTCTTCTTCTCTGAGTATAATCCTCCCTCATCCCTTAATTTTATTCTCCAGATATGACCCCTTAATCTTCAACTCACCCTGTGCCATCTATCTATCTATCTATCTATCTATCTATCTATCTATCTATCTATCTATCTATTATATACATACATATAATTTTTTTCCTCCAACTACCCTAATACTGACAAAGGTCTCATGAGTTATAAATATCATCTTTCCATGCAGGAATGTAAACAGTTCAATCTTAATAAGTCTCTTATGATTTCTCTTTCCTGTTTACCTCTTCATG